AGGTGATGAGTTGTCACAAAAAGTTGTTAAAATAAGTTATGTAATAATTTGAATAGTTTAATGAGTGAGATTTACTCACGATGCATATAGAAACAAAGTAGATAATACGAAATTACGCAATAGTTCTAAATGAATACAAGAGTTATAAACAATTAAAGAAACAGGCAAACAAACAAAAATGAGTCATCAAAATCAAAAAAGTTGTTACTATGACTATAGAAGTGGTTGGGTAATCTTCTTTTGTATGCAAAGCTCCGGTTTTTCTATGTGAATGGCCAGAGCTTCAGCGATACAAAGAAGAAGAAACCGTATCGCCTTTGATAGGTTATTCTTGACTCTGTAGATTACTTTGAAGGAGGCGCTTTTTGAAATGGAATGATTAGGTGTACAATTATCGCACTTCTTACAGCACCACTGCTGCCTTTTCGCAACCATACTGGATAGTGTTCTTGAATTCTCTTGGACTAGGTGCGCGTCGAACGACCGATGTACCTGGCTCCACAGCAGCAGGGTTTTCATCAAAAACCAGGAAAAGGTAGGGAATGAGTGCTTTCGGAAAGCAGTAACGCAATACCCTTCAAGTCATCCTCTTCTAAAAGAAGGAGCAGCATCACTGAATCTCTACTGGTTCAAAAACAATAGATCCATGGGAATCATGTCATATAGTTGTCCAGTAACTGAATCAGTTCAAGTGTTCTCAAGCCATTGCAAATTTTCAACTAAGAGCATATATATATATATATATATATATATATATATATATATATATATATATATATATATATGAAGGCATCTGTTGATAACTGAAGTTTTTAGATAAAGCAATAAGAAGACGTAATTTGTCTGAATTATGTAGTGTATTTGCGCAACACATTTCGAACAATCTTATCACACACGTCTGTTATACTGGCGATAACGGTGTGAACAGAAATACAGAATAAATTGCATAAAACTTTCAGTCTGCTGATGAGTACTTCTTGGACTTGAGATATCAGTGGATAATTATAGTTATTACATTGAAACGTGTATACTCCTCCTGTCTATCTTACATATATATATATATATATATATATATATATATATATATATTGCCTTTTCCACTTAATTTCTTCTCTCACTGATTTGTTTGTTCGGTAATATATTACTATTATCATTATGATTTTCGTTGTTTTGTTCAGATATAAAATACTTGTAAATTGTTTAATTTCTTTTCTAACCTTGACCGAGTTTACGTGTTTTAAAACTAGAATATGGAAACGCAATATGTGTTATGACTGTTTATTTAGGTTAATTTCACAAGCGCACAATTGCGTGCATTATGCACACACACAGACACACATACAAACACACATGTTTACACTTGGCACTCTCACATACTCAGCATACATTCTTTTTTTTTGTAAAACCCTCATTTGTTCTTAATAAAGGAATTGAATCGCATTCAATTGTGAATAGTTTATTATGAATTAGTCTTATTGTGTTGCTGCTCTGTAGTTTATAACTAAGTCAAATCAATAACGGTCGGGTTATCGGACAGTTCTAAGTTGTCTCTCTCTTGTTTGTTATTTTTATTACTATCATTACTGTTTTGTTGTTGTTGTTTTCTTGTCCTGATATTTGATCATTCTATTCGTATGTGTGTATGCCTGTATCTGTACGTATGTTTTTGTATATCAGTATGTGCGTGGGCGTGTTTGTATTTATTTATGTGTCCCAAGGTGCGTACACGTGTATAATACCTAGGCCTTTATTTTTGACCTCAATAAACGTACACCTATCTGTGCAATATGGAAATGCAAAAATGAATTTCAAATTTATTTTATTTTTACAAAACAATTAAAATAATTTAGAGACCAGAATTCATTAAATCTCTATGTATGCATTGTACATTCGAATTCAGGTGCAACTACTCTATCAGTCCCTGTACAGACTGTAAAAATTTATTATTGGGTATTATTGTCTACAAATCTTTTTCTCCGTAAAGTTTCAATTTTGCCTTCAATACTTGCTCTTCTCAAGGAATCTGCATAACTATGATTGTAAAATGATAATTGTTTCCCTTTGTGTGCATTATTTTTCAACAAACACCTATTCACCCAGCATAATTGTATCACAAAATAACACGTGCATACCTACTTAAATGCATCATCTTTCAATAAAGTTCAAATTTATTCTCCCACAAACAATATTTTGTTTGTCAATTATTATAATAATTTTTTCAACAGTAATTAAGTCACATTGATGATTAGTCACTAGGTTATGTAACTGTTGACATACGTGCTTCCAGTACTTCTTAGTGCTGATTGAATTCTGACACACAGATGTTCACTGTGTGATGAAGTATTCTGACTTCAGTGTTTTTGCTGAAGCGGTGGGTTCAAATCTCTGCGTTGGCATCAGTTCCTTGGAGGTTGAAGATATGTCCTGTGGATGAATACCAAAAACAAAACAAAAAACACGACGTCTAGTCTCTGGACCATTTCCAACCACCTTATAATAAATATAATGAAGCTACTTAAACGACAGTTCAACTCTGAGATAGTTTACTTTTCTTATACAAAATTAGTATACTAACTTGAAATCGTTATTTGATATACTGTGTCTTTGGTATTATTTAATCCTACAGTTATTGTTGAAAGTGATTGTAGCGTGTAAAATGATACGTTTTTAGAGTCATATTCTTCGAAGTTGTAGATGCATTTATGATGAATAACTTCAAAAGAATTGTGAAGATAAGGGACCATTGTACTCTGACAAATGAATGCTATGTGCGCCTTGTACTTAAGCCATGGGTTTGTGCTGCGTTGTCTGAGTATTCTCATATCAGAAAGGACACAAGGTCTAAGATTTAGATAAAATAAGGCTTTATTTGCCTTCACGTACTACGTTCAACATCAGACATGCTTGAACTCAACTCCCGGAACAAATCTTTCATGTTGCAGGCTGTGAGCCACGGTTATTCTGTGATACAACATCCAGTCACCCGGACTAAGGTGACTGTGATAGGTGAATATGAAGTGGGACTCACAGACTGGAAGCCAATCATCCATTTTGCCCACATCATACATAAAATCGCAAACATAATGTTCCCTTTCTGCTTTTAGGATTAATTCATTGATTGTATTCATTCGCTGGTCGTTGTTTTATTGTTTTGAAGCAAATATTTGTGACTTTAAGTCAAACACTGTCAGTCACGCAAGCCTAGATTTAATGCGATACTCAGTAGTATTAGTACTAGTAGTTCAATGCTACAGATTTGTTATTTGTTTCTTTTATAATATAGCCAATTTGTGCATACGTATTACCTTTGAATTCCATATCAGAGGATGTTAATCATAAACAGATAGTTTTCAGATGTGCAAAACTAAATTACTTGTTAGATTATGTCTTATTCTCTTTTGAGAGTAACCGAGGGTCGCCTTGAGTTAGCACACTATTATTTATGTCGTGATAAAGGTAATGATAGATGATGAAATGAGAAAGCTAGATGGGTGGTGGTAGCCTTTGAACTATACTAGTCCTACTATGTAACAGCTGAGCTTTAAAATCTAACTGTTAACAATATTTTCCTTATGGTGTGTATTGTTTAGCGAGATTTACATTTCTAGTCACTAGCTGATTGACGAAATAATACAGTATCTTGCTGAGAAGTGCATCACCTCACTATGCCATACTTCAGAAAAGACCACATAAAAGTAGAAGAAATAAATAAATGTAAGATGAAATTATAGAATTAAAAGGATCAGTGAATACTTTTCTGAATCTGGAAGATGTGAATACATCTGCGGTAAAGTTTCACGGGAATTTCGTTTGAAAACCGAAGTATTTAAGCGGCTGTATGTTATCCGATTAAATGATACTTATCATACACTATAGATTTATATGGTGAGTGACATGAAACCACCTATCCAGAATTTAAACGATTGATTTTAAGAATTTGACTATGTAGGCTGGATCACTTACGCTGTTTGGCACACTAGTGACCGAAAGCCAATATCCAGGGAATCATTGGATCAAGTGACATGGTCGCGCAAAATTCTCTAACTGATAGAAGTTAGAATTCGTGGGTGATTTAATCACGTCCCAGTTGCCGAGTGGTATGCGAGCTTGCCTTGTAACCGGAAGGTCCTGGCTTCGAAACCCAGTAGTTGCTTGCGTACTGTCCAGTACTCCCTGTTTTGTTTTTCAATGGTCCGTGGTCTAGCCTGAAACAAAGAGAATCCCTACAAACTAAGTCTTGAAGATATAATAATGCTTTTTGAGATCCAAACTATCCGATTAAGTATTTACTACCTGTCTAATGTGATAAATAACGTGAAAATTGCATTCGTACTGAGTCATATCATGCATAGTGCTAAATTGTTTGAGTAGCCGAAAGTCACCGAAGTCACTTTACACTATAAGAATCCCCGTGGATATATGCGAATGCATAGTTGGTAGGCTCCATAAAAAATAAGCGAAACGATATATGTCATGGATTGATGGTTGGTATACACACTCGGTGTGTGTATTTCGTCACCAGGTCTTCCTATTAGATTACATAGAAACCCAAGGTGGTAATAAAGTTGAATTTAACTAATCGTCAACTGTATTTGTTAAAATCAAAGCCTGAGAATACTCAGCAGTACGAACCCACTGAGATTTGAACCCAGGACTTTCCGGTCACAGGGTTAGCTCTCAGACAGACCACTTAGCCATTGGGATATGTTCCAACGGCCAACTCATGGATTCCAACTTCTGTCAATTCGAACCCCAGTGAGCGACACCGTTGAAGAGTCTCGAACGAGGACGAAGCATCTGCCCAGGTTTTCCGGTGGTTCCCTAACTAATGTCGTCTCGTGACCGAATCCCTGGAAACTAGCACTTCATAAAATCAATGTAGCCACATGTTCTGTTCGAAATCATTATGAGTAATAACCTTATAACAGATATTTTTAAAATTGTGTATTTCTCTAAAATAAACTCACTTTTGTATGTTTCTTTTGCTTAAATAATCACAGGTAGTCGTATTGGTCGACAGCCTAATGCAATTAAATATTATTGTGCGCGAGAGATTTCTCAATTGACTAATTCCAATGACTGTGAAGCGACAACAAATCCATCTTCAAGTTCAAATAGAATTGATACAACAACACGTCGTAATTCTATAAGTCATAGTAGTACTAGCAGTGGTAATACAACTCTGAGCAGTAACATCAGTAGCCTTAATAATAATAATAACAGTAATAATAATAATAATGTTACTAATAATACGAACAATCATGATCATAACAATAATAATAATAGTAATCACTGTAGTACCATTAGTGAACATGATTTATCGTCTATGAATGATGAACGGTGTAAATCAGGAATTAGTCAATCTCATTATCCAACTTCTAGTTGGCCATCAGCTAAACGTATAATCTCTAACTCTGATCGTAGCGGTAGTATTAGTTCAACAATGTCAGCCACAGGAACATCTATAGTCTCATCAAGTATGCCTAGGACAACAACAACCACAACTAGTATGAATCCATTCAGTGTACATGGTCATAATTATACTGAATCACATGGTGGGAGTAGTAGTACAACACTGAAGAATGGATCAATGCCGTGTTCATCACCATCATCATCTTCATCACCACAATCAGGATTAAAAAACCATATAAAGTTTAAAACAGAATCACGTACACAGTATCCTAATCCACAAGCACGTCTTCATCATCCACAACCGTCTCCTTCACAAAATAGTTGTTGTAGTAATAGTAATAGCAATAGCAGTATTAGCAGTAGTACTACTGCTAGTAATGGTGCTGTTCTCCTTCCTCCTCCTGGTTATTGTAATTCACTTCTGCCGACATCATCATCAGTTTATTCTACAACTTCTTCTGCTTCTTCTACTACTAACGGTGGTGCAGATTATCTTCTAAATGAATGTTCAAGAAATGTTAAACGACGTAAAACACTATCTTCTTCTATGGGATCAGAGATAAATGAAAGTAAAATTACCTCCTCAAAATTCACACCGGTTAATTCAACATACCTACATGATAATGAAGATTATGATGACGTTGATGATGATGAAGGGTGTAATACTATGGGTCCAAATGATGATACTGAACATCTTGATCATCGGTATCGTCAAAGACATCAACCGTCTACTCCTCACCTGTCTCATCCTCCTACTCCTGCCTCTGCTCCTTCTCATCATCAACATCATCATCAACAACACCGTCAACATACTGAAGTGATAAGTCCAAACGATGAACATCTGTATGGTGTTATCAATTCAACTGGGACTACTGGTTGTGGTGATACTATCAGTAGTAGCAGTAACACTAGTGATGTTGTTTGTGGTGGATATGATAAAATTAATGATGTAAAAATTAATATTAACAACAACAATAACATCTCTGTAGATAACTTTTCATTTATTGACCGATCAAGGCATTTATTAAACCAGATCAAATTGCCTAATGATAATAATCATAACAGTAATAATAGTAATACTTATAATAACAATACTGATCGTAGTGTCCTACAACACTTACAACTTAGAAGGTGAGTTTCTTTGTTATTGTTTCTGTTGCTGTTGTTGTTCATCTAATCATCAGTGTTTCCCCATTTTTATGACAATAAGTCAGTTTTATTTTCTAATTTTTTACTCGTAATATAATGTCAACGCTGGAGGTTGGTTTTTTTCATAATAAGATAACTTTTGTGGCTAGTCTAAGGAAACAGGCGAAAATTTGAGCCTAACATTTACTACATCAAGTGTAGTCGTATGTTATTACCATTATTATTCCTTTGGACATTGAGTGAAATACACATACGACTTCAATAGCACATATCTATTTCGTCCTGTTTTCTGCAGTCCTCTTCATCCGGCCCCACGATTGCTCATGAACTTTCATCTCCTCCACACACACACACACACTCGGACGACCCACTCATCGTTTCCTATTCGGTGGGTTTCACTCTAGCAATGGCCTGTCGCGAGATGCCACTCAACGGTTCCTTCCAGCGTGTTTCTGATCCAGTTGCACTTTCTCCACATTTATTGAACAATAGATTGTTGGTTGGTTCATTCCCAGAGTTTCTAGTTTCCAACTTTTTTTGACCGTCTATCTGATGTTCAGTAAGGAACCAACGAAGACAACTTTTGAGGAAAAGTCTGCGGTAGTCTGTGTGGCGTGCCTGTAGTTGAAACGATGCTTCCTAGATAAGCAAAGAAAGTGTAATAGTATTCTGTGAACAACATGTGTCTATCTGAATCAATAGACAATTCCTTTGAATAGATGTAGAGATGTTTTCATGATATATATATATATATATATATATATGCGTCTGTGGCACAGTGGTTAGGACTCTCGTCGGCCATACACATGGTCCGAGGTTCGATTCCCTTCGGACGCATACCTGATATCTATGGTCGGCCTGCAAAATTTGGGCTACCGATATCCATGCTGAAAATTCCATACTTGTACCAAAAATACAGTGTGGAATCAAGCTGTAAATCAAATATACATATGTTGATGATGATTACTAATTCGACAATATAATAATTGTTGTGTCTGAAAGTACTGGATTTTAGGATGTAGAACTGTAACGGACATTTATTAGTTGGTCACTTTTTATCATGAAATGGGTTAGAATCTTCGAAGGGACATCAGTTGCTTTGGGGTCGCAGATTTGTTTTGCTGACGAGTGCTGATAACCAGGAGACCTAGATCCCAGACTTGCTGACGGCTTCTTCCATCCACTTAAAATCATTTCAAAGTGAGTGATGAAAAGTTTATACAACAGTTGTACACGAATTGCCGCCCTAATGATTCATATATATATATATATATATATATATATATATATATATACTGAATATAAGCACCGAGAATGAACTGATTTTAAATGCTGCTGTATTACGTATTTCTCGCTTAATGACGGCATTAAATAAAATCACAAAGCCATAATGACCTATTAATTAAACTATGTGGTCGTAAGGGCGACGTCATTACAGATACTCAGTGTTCCAGCGAAATCATGCCATAATAGCTGATGTTACGATTACTTATTTTAGTTACAATGTATTGAATAATAAGTATACTATATTTGAAGAAAAAAGATATCTATTTTTGGTACTTGCTTGTCTCCTTCTTTGAATAAAAAGAAATTAGTTTTTAATAGTTGTCAATACAGAAGAAAGAAACTTGAAACCTAAAAATAATGGATTCATTCTGTTTTACACATAAGCCCTTTGTGTTATCTGTCTATTTGCTGGAAATGTGCGTGATATTAGAAATAAGGGAACTTGTTTTTATATGTTTGTATCATTCATCACTCTCATGTTCTTATTGGAAAATACGTACAAGGCTGTGAAAGCATATCTCTATTTCATCGTCCCGTACTCTGTCGTTACCCTAAGTTGGAGCTCCCTAAATGCCCACAATCTTTCTTTTCCTCCTCACATATGTTCTTCACTAAACCACCTCTCATAGACTCGTTCGCTACTTCAACAATTTATATATGTATTATTATTTTATTATTATTGACTCCTTCAGTTCCTAGAGGAACGTAGGGCTTTAGCTGCATGTCTCCATTGTGTTTGGTTCTCTGCCAACGTTTTCACTTGGCTCCACGTCTGACCACATGCTTCCATCTCTTCTTCTCATGACCTCCTCTATGTCACCCTTGGACGACCAATTCGCCGCTTCCCATTCGGGCTCCAATCAAGCTATGGTCTAACGTGTGATGTCACTTGATGATTTGTTTTCTCAGAGTATGGCCAATCCACCCCTATTTCTTCCTGTATGTTTGCTACACAGTTGCTTCCTACTGGGTTGGTTCGCTCATTGCCAGAGATCCCTGTTGCTGATCTTTTCTGGCCATCTGATCTTGAGCAAAGTATTGAGCGAGGACAGCTGTTGATGAAGGAGCGTAGTTTGTTCTAGTGTGCCCTTCGTGACGTGCCAAGTCGCTGATTCGTATAGTAGCACTGACTTCATATTGGAGTTGAAAATCCGGTTCTTACTTTTCATACTGAGTGCTGTTGGTCTCTATACAGACTTGAGAGTAACGAAAGCTTACCTTGCTTTTCCAATCCTCGCTTTGATATCCTCATTAGTTCCGTCCGCCTGTAATTGAAACTATGCTTCCCATGTCGGCAGGTAAAGGAGTTTGCTTTTTCAGATTTCTTTCATTTATGCTGATTGTTATCTGTTGTTGTTGTTGTTACTGTTGGCCAGGAATCTTCATCAACTCTGTTTTCTCTATGTTCACCTGAAGTCCCATTTTCTCTGAATGCTTCTGCCAACTTGTTGCTTTTCACTTGCATATATATATATACTTAAAATTATTTAGTTTAATTAGCTACACACGAAAATCCTCATAATTTGTTCAGGACAAGATTGATTACAGCGAATATTTGTTTTCAATAACTTTATGTATAATTTTTCTCACATTTTACTTATTTTCACACAATCCTTTTGTTTCCAGTTCATTTCTTTATTATGTGATAATCGTTCACTCAAAATAGTTTACACCAAATTATAGTTATTAGTCACTCCTTGAACTTACATTATTTTGTGTCTCACACCACTTGACTGACTACAACTCATCTATGCTTTGTTGATTATACCTGACAAACATGTCGTTGAGTTCCTGAATAATCTCCTTTCTATCTCATTATCTAAGTGACTGCTTATCTCTGCATTTAGAACGACAGTCAAGATTGACTTATTTGTTTTCACTTTGTACTTTACCATAATTCAGTTTTTCATTATGTATGTAGTTTTAGTTGATTAGAAAAAATGCCCATTATAAATTTCAAATGATGACTACTCAGTGAGTAATCAGATCTTTATTAGGTAATAGTTACAAAACCCTCTGTGTGTGTGAGAGAGAGAGAGAGAGTGGGATGGAATGGGATGGAGGGAGAGATAAAGATAATAGGCATAACTGCTACACTAAATTTGACATTAAGTTTCAAATGTAAGCCATCATGACTAATAACGCCTATGTATAAATGGATACTTATGAATAGTGTTCACGCTGAATTTTATTCAGACTGATTATAAACTCCTAAACAAGAGGGCAGGATAGACGGGATAAAGGTTGTGAGTGTATATATGTGTGTGTGTGTTAGTAAATCTAAGAAATAAAATGTTTTTCAAAAGTTAATTTGTAGCGATTTGATTAGTTTCAAGTTTAGCCGCGGCTCGATATCAGTTAAAGAACCATTTAAATCAACACAGAGTCATGGACAGTTGTTTCTTCCTAGTTTGACAATCGTTGGCAGTATACACCTTATGGCGTACTAACCTCTAGGATCTCTTGTTACAAGACCACTCAGCCACCAGGACCCGGACCCGACCTACTGACCAGCCCATGAATTCTAATTTCTACTGATTCGTGATTATATCACAACTTACATCAACCATTGTCATTGTACTGATGATAAGTCACAAACTGCCCAGTACTCCCTGGTAGATTTCAATAGTTTTCTAACCCGTTATCAATTCGTTGTCATGCTTGAAATTTAAGGTTTGTGCAAGTGCAGTAACAAATAAGAGATATAAGAAATTCATGCATTGCACTAAGGAAGGTAATACCGAAAATGTATGAAGTAGTACAGTATTTATGAATTTGTGAATTCCACAGTAAACCAGAGTAGTGTTATTATGTTGCTGCTACTTTTATATTTCTCAGTAACATTGAGGTTGAAATAGGATGCCGATGCTAGACACAGACGCGATGATCGCGCAATTTCACTAGGCTAACACCAACAACATTATACAACATCAGCTGTCTGTTCCTCAGCCGAATCTACTTAAGCGCGAGCACACAACGATGTGAGTCGCAAAGTTTATTTCAGTTTCAGTCACAATATCTGTCCAAAGTGAAACACTGATATATATATATATATATATATATATATATATATATATATATATATATATATATATATATATATGGCCACCGTCGGATCCATGAGAGAAGGTAACCATAAGAGGATAATCGATTGTTTATCTCTAGAGGTAGTGATATAATATACAAAGTTTCATCTGTTTTAAGCAAATCTCTATGGCTTCCGCTGTTTAGACTACTCGGTACCTAGCTAATTTAGGCGGTTTATTCGGTACACGATGTGCGTTGGTGGCATATCGGTTAGGACGCTCGCACACCATGCACATGGTTTTCAGCTTTTGCGTCATAGACTAGAAACAATATCGTTTTGTTTTTCATTCATTGGGAAATACAAAAACCTTTATTATAATAAAATCTCTCCACCTACTCTCTCCAGGTTAGTTGGTTACTACCCAATTTACTCAGCATTGGACTATGAGTCACACTACCTAGCTGCCCAGGTCGAGGTAGGTGTAGCCAGACTCGAACTTGAGGCCCATTGATTGGAAGATGAGTGCTAAAGCCATGGAGCAACATTTCCACCTAACAAGAGAGTATTAGATATTTGTTTCGTTCTAGTGTGGGACTGTTCAGAATTATCCACTCATGACCAGGCCAGTGATGGAACCTAGAACTTTCAAGATATAAGGTAAACTCGTTGACTATTCAGTCACGCGGTAACTAAGTTCAAACAAGCTTTATTTTAGATTTATATCCATTTCTACAACTGATTTGTTATTGTTTCCACAGTTAATTATAGGTAGCACCGTAGTAGTAATTATAATGATGATTATTACGTTTAATTTTGTCATGCCAAACAAAAATTACCTTACGAAAGACGTAATTTTGTATCACATGTACATACACGAATCATATTCTTGTAATATATTCAATAGAGAAAATATCACATTACACCTTAGGTATATATATACCACAAAATATTAAGCAGTAATCACATTTTTCGTCATGAATTATGTTCGCTTTCGCCAATATTACACTAAACATGTGATTAGACATTTTCTACAAGTTAATTAAAGGTATAAAAGTGAACAGGTTTTATGCTTACTTGTTCCTACATTCTTATTATTCATTAATTCTATAGTAATCAGAAAGCTCGAGTATTGTGTACAAGGACTGACTGAGTAGTGTTGAGAGCTGTTCATACCCCACTTGTTAGATGACTGACTGATTGATTTACTTTCTATATTATTATTTAATCATGGAGACATAAATTGAGCGTAGGAATATTCGCTTCTCACAGTTATATCCTCCTCATCAGTGTCTTTCCTCTGTTATAAATGCGCAATTTCCCCTATCTAGAAGTAGTAAGTTGATTAACAATAATTAGCCAGTGTTGTAAGATTAATATTATTAACCAAGAGTTTCGGAGGAGGGGTGGGTTGCAGGTGGATATCATTGGTAACATAACATGTCAGCTAAACCCCCCGAGTATAGAACCCGTTCGAGAGTGTTATGGAGGAGAAGATCGTGTAAACAGGAGATGGAAGCTTGTGGTTGGTTGGTGAACCAGCTGAGAATGATGTCAGAGAACCGCGTGCAGTTGAGATATGCCTCTGAGACTCCTTATGTCCCGGAAGGAAATATATATATATATAATATAATGTATATAATATTATGTAATCACACTAAAAGTGTTACATGTTATGTCAAACTGCAGCTGTTGCCTAGGTTCTACTTCAGAGGTGATTATTTCCTAGCTTAATGTTTTGTTTTCTCAATATTTAAAAATATATTTTTGGTATATTTTTGCACTTAAAACCCATGTAGTTTTTGATAACTGATTTGATCATTTCATGTTAACTTTTTTATTAAAGAAATAGTTTCAAGATGAAGGCAGTTAACACAGATCAATTTTTTTCTTCTTCTAAACAGCTGTTCATTGGTGGATAGATCATCTCCACTAGGTGGTGAAACATCCTCATTGAATAATCCGCATGCAGTTAGTACACATTTAAGTCAACCATATATAAGACCAACACAATTATGTTTATCAACTGCAAGACATTTACCTGAAGATGCTTCTTATTCATTACCCTATCTATCGTCTTCATCATCATCAATTACATCTTGTCCACATCCATCTGTGATCTCTGATTACTCTGACTTTAATCAGCAAACATCAACTGTTGATAGCAGTAACAGTAATAATAATAATAATAATAACATATCCGATCAAATATGGTTACCAAAACATCGTTATATTAAATCTAGTCGTAGTCTACCAAATGAGCATACAATTCAACCAATCCTATCTAATAATGGTAGTAACAGTAATAATTGTTTAGATATAAATCCATTGGCATTTCTTAATGGACGTAATAGTGATTCAACTGGATTATCGGAAAGTGAACCTACATCTACAACAACACCATGGTTTGCTGCTGCTGCAGCAGCAGTAGCTGTTGTCATGGCTGCATCTCAGTCACCGTCGACAAATCAAGCACTTGATCCCTATACAGTTTCGTGTAGTGTTAATGAACACTTTGCTTTGAATGATAATATTAATCTGAATCAAACAGATTTGCATAACTCTAGGCGTGTTCCATTGAATGTAACCAATTTTTCAAAGGTAATTGAATTCTTTTTACTTTGATTATCATTTTTTTTGGCTTTTTTTGTACTGAATTTCCGTGATTCTTAATCGGAAATCAGTCTCTGTTTACCTACATTATTAGAACATAAACGTCGTATTTTATGGGCACCAAGAAACTCGCCACATAATATGTCATAGTTTGCGTTGGGCCAGGGACACTACCCTGACGCTCATGTTTGGAATCAAGGTTTTCGAGATCCCCTAAATAGCAGACCAGCATGTCCACCAGTCCGGTTGTGTAAGAGAGAAACACACCACTCCATCTGGCAGAGGCTGTGAACGCATGGCTACGTGACATTACTGCACAAGGAAGTACTTCACAAGTCTGCCCACCCTCAGCAGTACCAAGTCGCCTATGTGGGCGTTTACACTCATGTATATATAGGCTATTTTTGCAGATGGCTTAATATTACTTCGAATTTAATTTTTGATGATGATATATTTTTCATTGCTATTTAGAACTGATCGTCTGGAAATGCTCGTATTCCTCTGCGTGCTTTCTTTTATGGAGATTTAAAATCAATAAGTGTAGTTTTTAGGCGACTTATAGTCATTCATTAAGCCGATCATGAAAATCACCTGTTGTAAAACAGAGGAAATGTGTGTTTTTCGGTTCTCTACTATGCATGTAGTGACATTGTCTAGTTCCTCTGATGTACTATACTATTTATTCTTTAGTGAGTGTTGTGCTGAATAATTATAGTTAAAAATAGATGACTTAATGCATAGTGTTTTTGTAGAGAATTTTTTCCCAACGAAATGTTACTCAATAACTTAATTAAATGAACCATTTGTTCAAGGTTTGAGTAAGCAAAAGACGTTATAGACTTATATAATATATACTACATAGCACACTAATTCTCAATAGCATTATTATTATTATAACCGTTGTTACGTTTATTCGTTCATGTCTTCTTTGAAATGGTTACAGGGACAAAGCTCAGTTTTCGAGTTTTCACTAGTCCTGAGTATTCTTCTCGTACCATTCGAATGCTCATCATCACATGTTCAACTTATTTCGGACATTTGTTATATCTGAAGAAGTTTATTCTATCTAACAATCATCAAATTGTCTCCAGAGTTGTAATTAATTCCGCTACGCGTACTTCCGCCTGACTGCCCGAGTCCTCACACGATAAGTGTTCCTCGTAACATGGATAACTGAGTTCTTATATAAAAATAATAAGTTTGTTGGTTCAGTTATCGTATTGACATTTGGTATTTTAAGCTGTTACGCGATAGTTTTGGGGACTTGTTTTAAAGAGTTTTAAAGAATCGCTTCACCCTACTTCCGTGTGAATAAGTAAACTGTATTGTTAATCTTTAGACAAAAGATATCATGGTATTTTGTTGATAATAGTTATCAGTGGAGTCGAGGGCGCAAGTTTCATACGCTTTGGAACTCGTTAGCTGGATATACTTTGGATTTTCGGTCAAGTAAAATGAACAGCAAAAAAGTTCAATAGTTTTGATTAAATAATAGGCATATAAGTCATGATGATCAGAATTTGAAATTAGCGCTCTGTTTTTAGATAGCTCAGTGCGTCAGTGGTTCAGAGAAGGCAGTTCAGTCGCCGACCGACGCACTCCTGATGCTTATGTAGTTGGTAGGTAAGGCTGGTAGAAGGGTAAGATTGGGCGTGAGAGGTTAGCAACCTCACCCACTGTGCTACTGAGTCTTCAAAGCTCTCGCTTGAACGCCTATGCTCCTCTCGGAACTTAAAAGAAAAACAAAACAACAAAATAAAATTTTGCATTAATTATCTTCTAACATTTTTGCAGTTGATGCTCTCGGGGGCTAACGACAAGAAGATTGAGGGTGTCGGCGGAAAGAAGTATGCGACAATGCTGCATGCCAAGTAATCCACAACGGGAAATTTACGGAAGCCTTCGAACTGAGGACGGGAATGAGGCAAGTCTGTCTACTATCGCCAATGAGTTTCCTGATTGCAGTAGATTGGATAATGCGACAGACAACGGGAACAGCAGTGAGCAAACACGCATAGAATGGACTCACACAAAAAACGAACTTGGAGGATCTGGACGTCGCCGGTGATATATGTCTGATTTCCCACAAACTGGAAGATATGCAAGTGAAAAGCAACAAGTTGGCACGAGAAGCATCAAAGATAGGACTTCAAGTGAACATAGAGAAAACAGACGTAGATGATGAAGATTCCTGGCCAATAGCAACAGCAACAGCAACAGCGACAACAACAGCGACAGCGACAACAACAGACAACAATCAGCCAGCATAAATAGGAGGAACCTGAAAGAAACAACCTCCTTTACCTACCGACACGGGAAGCATAGTTTCAACTAGGGGTGGGCGGAACTGACGAGGATATCAGAGAGATGATCGGAAAAGCAAGACAAGCCTTCATTACTCACGTCAAGTCTGTGTGGAGGTCAACATCACTCAGCATCAAAAATAAGATCTGGATTTTCAACTCGAATGTGAAGTCAGTCAGTGCTACTTGGCATACGGATCAGAGACTTGGCCAGCGCGTCATAAAGAGCATCTCAAACAAACTTCAGACCTTCATTAACAGTTGTCTTCGCTCAATACCACTCAAGATCAGATAGCCAGAGAGAAAAGATCAGCAACATGGTGGGATCTCTGGCAATGAGCGAACCATCCCAACAGGAACCGACTGTGAAACAAATAGGCAGGAAGAAATGGAGATGGATTGGCTGGCCATACTCTGAGGAAATAAACCATCAAGTGACATCACTAGACAAGCCATCGGTCGAGTGGAACCCGAAAGGGGAGCGGGTGGCGAGTTGGTCGTCAGTGTGAGGGTGGGGTGACTTGGAGGAGGTCATGTGAGCAGGAGATGAAAGCATGTGGGCTGACTTGAAGCGGAGTGAAAAAGTTGGCAGAAAATTGAAGGTAATGGAGACGTTTAGCTGAAGCCCTATGTTCCTCTAGGAATTAAAGGATAAAATAATAATAATAATTCATGACCTAGCGGTTGATGAATGAAGTGATTATGGCTTTTTGAATTGTCTCTTTCCCGTAGGCGTTCAGTAATTATACCTTATAGTATTTTCTTTGTTAAAAAACAAACAAACAAAGAGCATATGTATTGTAGTGTAATTAATTAGTCGTTTTGATATGTAGGTAGTAAGTTGTTTGTTTGATAGTTATCTTCTCATAGTTTTAAAAAAATCTAAAACACTTATTCGATATTTCAATTCTAACAAGTGTGTTCAACTAATAATTGTTCTCTCTGTGTTATGTGTTATTTATTTTACCTTGCACATATATTTAAAGCAGCGATTCAAAATGGGTCTACACGAAACGGCTGCTGCTGCTGCTGCTGTTGAACAAGGATCAAGATCATTCCTATCCAATGCTAATCTCAATCGACATGATATTACTGCTGGTAGTCATGTAGTTGGTGGTGGTGGTGGTGGTGGAAGTATGATGAAAGTTGGCGGGAAATGTGAAGCACCAGATCCACTGCGTTCTTTGCATTCAACACCATCCTCATTATCATCTGATGTTACGCATCCTTCGACAATGGCTGCTATGCAAGCTGCTGCTGTAGCGGCTGCAGCCGCTGCCACAGCTGCCGGCCTCGTCCTATCCAACAGTCGTGTTGTCCGAGGCTTATCCGAGGATGTCTATCCATCAAGTTGTTTAAATCGCGCCAGCATTGTAAATTCATTTCCTGAATTGCCTAGCAGTTGTAGTTATGCATCGAGCACGTCATCACCATCACCACCAATCATTGGGAATTTTGGCAGGATAATTGAAAATCTTGCAATTTATTCATCTTCTGATCGTCATTCAATGCCTAGCAGTAATTTAGATTATCCACCGGTATCGTCATCATCATCATCATCATCGTCATCGGGTGTTAACAATTATCCTATAAATAATTCAATCGGTAATACTGTTATTCAATCTGTTACACTCCCAGGGATACCTAGCAAAGAAGTTGGTGCACGTTTGAAGAATGGCACTAGACCGGTAGGTTGAATTTTCTACTTTGTGAAGTCAGTTTTTTTTCATCGTTGTTTTTGCCGTCGTCGTCGTTTGTGCGAGTCAACGCTCCTCAACTGATACATCCTTTACATCGCTTCGAAAATATAAGCAAACTGATGCAAATTTCCTCATTCATCCCAATAATGATTATTGGCTTAGGCTACAGAGTGTTTCCTGGATGTTCATAATTTTATTAATGTTAAAAAAAGCTGCCTTTTTAGTATTGCTGTTTTTTTTAACTGGATATTTCAACTATGAAGCTGTCATTGTTTGTACAAGCAATATCTTCAGTGTTATACTTCAACGTGAACACATCAGTATGAATTCTAGCCCTGAGGATATTATCTACGAGGACATTTGAAAGCTTCTCAATTGAAACTTCCAGCTCAGATAACACAGTATAATACCTGAAATGAACTAGATTTTCAAAATACGAATTTGCATAAAAGTACAGAAATTCAAGTTCCTACACCACACAAAAGTAGACCTGAGGGTGGAGGAAGAAAAAGTAATCCGCAGTAAACGGAAAAGTTGTGAATCGGTGGTTCAGCGGTAGAATGCTCACCAACCACGCCTTACATGGTCTGGGGTCCGAGCTCCGTCCGTCGCACTCCTAGCCGCCCCCTTTAGCCGGTTGTAAGCCCGACAAAGAGGGAAGGTTAGGTGTCAGACCAGCAACCCCACCTCGGAAGAATAGCTCCACGATTAGTGAAACTTCAGAGATTGAAGCCCCCCCTTTTGTTTCACTGGGAGTACAAAGGGATATAACAATAAATTTTTAAAAAAAACGGAAAATTACCGGTGAAAAACAGTGATCTAAGAGCTCATAAATAGCTATTGTGAATGGGAGCCATTTAAAGCTATCTTGTCACAAACAGTCTACTGTCGTCAATTTTTGGTGTCTTGACTACTCCAGCCAGAAAGTCTACATCCCTTCACATGGCTCAAACCAACAGTCAGACTTCATGGATTGGTATGACCACCCGTAAATGTTTTTCAAACTAATTATATATATATATATATATATATATATATACATATAAGAGCCGACATTGCTTGATGACGAAGCCGATGGCTTGGCACGTGTTACAACTATCCTAGCTCCACAACCCCATCAATTGACCAAATCTCTTTACCTAATACTCTACGCCTAACCTCAGTGTTACTCACCAATATTTAGGCGCTTACTCTGGAAGATACAATGCAGGCCCCTATGATAACAGACAGTTAGCTTTATATCTGTAACTTTCAACGTTTGTGTTTCATGACCTATCATTTCAAAAGATGACTGACTCTTTAACTCAGACGACTCAGAAACTTTTAAGTCATTAAGAAAAGTGAGTTTGTCATTATTTATTTTATACAACCGTGTGTTTCTCTGTCATTACAGTCATCATGTGACAGAGTGGGGAGGGAGTGCAAAAGAGAGAGAGAGGCCATTGTACCTTAAAAGAACGAAATAGCGTCATGTGCCAAATAACTCAATAAAATTTTAATTGTGATATAAAAGTGCAACTTTCAAATTTTTACGAATGAGGCAGGTGGACCTGTGATTTGTGTACTGATTTATTTATTTATTCCTAATCTGTATTTACACTTTTGTTATTGGTTATCATTACTACAGAATTCCATAACGGTACAACAGTTTGCTGAACGTATTCATACAGCTGCTAAGTATATGGTGTCTGAAAGGAAGGTGAGTAGTATTGACTTTTATTACATTTTATTTTTTTTTACTTATTATGATAAATGTGTTGTCTTTGTTGACTCAATATATCATGGTTTTCCACCAGAAATCTAAGATACTTGTCTAAAATAGATCGTCATCGTTGTACTGTCAGCTGTATTATAGCTGTGATTATTGCTTCTCTCAGCTCAGACTGGTTATTCGGAGGCCACCGGTTCGAATCCTGTCACAGTCCAGACTTGTATGTCATCACCCACTGACTACACATCAGTAATACAACAGTCTATCAATATCAGTCCAGGACTATCTCAGGATAATTTAATCATCGGTTGTTGCTCATAGTTGAAAAGTTAAATTCATTGAAATTTTAAGGTACTCAAGGTGAATGATAAATTTTCATTAAAAGAAGCTTGTTTGTGTTATTGTTAAGACATCTGCTTTCTTCTCTCTCTCTCTCATTCGATGTATATTTTGAGTATTGTCACATCCCCTGCTGAGCTGCATGGTTTGAATTGCCAAGCTACCATCCATCATTTTCCTATAGAATTTTGAAGTTGGCTCTGAAGAATCTCTATCATAAACGATAGTGAAGCATTATTGTCCAACTCTGCTCCCAGGCGTTATTAATACACCTACCAAGATATGTTAGTTTTAATCTAAGGTTCAAGAGTTCTTTTGCATCTAGTTGAGCTTGGCGTCGGTGGTTCAGTAGTGGAAAACCCGTCGACCACAAACGTGGTTCCGGAGATTGATCCCTGATTGACTCACTGCTAAGTTTTTATTAACCGATAGTAGGCCTGACATAGTGGAAATTTTGGTCAGCAGCTCCACCTTGCAGAAAAGTAAACATCACTCTTACTGAAAATTCAAATCTCCGACTAGAAACACAAAAGAACACAATAACAATTGGTTACAGGATTTCACCATGAGCTGACATCAGTTAGAGAACCATTGAAAAACCTGGGAGTACTGGACAGCTGTTTCGTCCTAGTTTGGGACTCTTCATCAGTAAGCACCCGCCAAGATTCGAACCCAGGACCTTCTGGTTACAAGACAAGCTCTTATACCATTAAGCCACTGGGATCCGATCCCGGTGGGTGCGTACTGATGAAGAATCCCAAACTAGGACTAAACAGCTCTCCAGTACTCCCAGGTTTTCCAATGCTTCTCTAACTAATGTCAGCTTATGATGAAATCCTGTAACCAATCAACCAAATTCCTACAAATCAATACTTGAAAATAACAGTTATTGAATTTGAGTCTTTTTTCTCCCTGATGAATACGGTTTGAAGAATGAATTGTTCGATAGGTATGAGGCTAGCAACCCCATCCTGTAAAAATAATAAACATTGCTACAGAAACTTCAAGCCACCAGCTTGAAGCCCTATGTTCCACTTGGAACGTGAAGGCAAAAAATTCCTTACCTCTATCTATTCATTTTGTTTCAATATCTGAAATCGCCCAGACATTTGGATCGATTAGTGCTGGGTTTTAGTCTTAATAGGAGCACAATCAATCACTCATTCAGCATATAGACATATCCAGTTGATGATGAGTCTTCTGCAGGACAGAGAGCGTACAGTCATGGATTTTACTATCTATATACACCACCAGCCGAAGAATAATTATCTATTACAAGGTAGACTTCTTCACCAACTAAAACCATTCAGAGCATTTTTGAAAACTATTGAATACACTGGACAACTATATCATCTTGGTTTGAGACTATCATGCAGTGAATACCTCCATGACCACCCCACCACGGTTCGAATCGAGTATCTCGAGGCTACGAGGTTAGCCACTGAGTATCACTATAGCGCGCGTTATGCTGAACCCTAACTGAGTGCCTGTGAATAATGACCAGCGAGCTGTCTTGTAACCTGAAGGGACTGGTGACGAGGTCATAGGTGTAAAAACTACTGAAGAGTACTGATCAGCTCTTTCACACTAATTTTGCTTCATAACAGAGCCTATATGGAAAATAATCGAAAACCCTACAAAACTGAAAACTAAATTGCCTTTTAGATTGACTACTGACTTTAAGGATTTTGATATATCTATACAGCATAATCTGTTCAATGAAGCCTAGTTTCTACTTTCAGATAACTCTGTCACTGGTATAATAGAGTTCTCCTAGATGAGTATTTGACTGTATGCATTTTGATTGCTTTTATTGTTAATACATTTAGAAAATAATCTGTAATAGAATTCGTTGAGTTACTTATTTCAAATCCTACCTATGTAGTGTGTTTGTTTTTTTCTTCTAATAATCAAATAACGCCCAATGATAATTTATATTCGTCTACACAGTTAGTTTTCGTTACAATACTGTTTATATGTCCGCGTGTGTTCATTGTGTGCTTTGTTTTATCGCTTTCTATCGCAGTTTTATATACAGTTATATATATATATATATATATATATATATATATATATATAATTGTTTCTCAGTATTTGTATCACGAATCAATATCACTTGTCTATGGTGTCAAATCAAACAAATTAGTAAAATAGCAGGTAACACATGAGCTATTTTGCATTCCTACTTGATGTTAACTGACAGTTTTCCAGGGTTATTCGTGGACTTGGTGTAGTAGTAGTAGTAGTAGTAAAGGGTTCCGAAGCAGAAGAAGAAGGATGATGATGCCACACCACCTGTGTCCAGTGTTAGCTGTCGACACAATCTATCTTCAAAAGCTAATCAGGTTTTCTGTTACTTTCAGGATTGCGCATTTTTATTTGTTTTCTCTCTCTCTCCTTCCTTCTTTTCTGAAGAATATACGAAATAACTTACCTCAACCGGTACGACCAATGCATATGTCTGATCGTGTTGAAGACATTTGGCATCAAATGATGAAGCATTTTGAAACACATTCACGTTTCATTGTACAGTTTGTTAAATACATTCCAGGTGGGTGTGTAGTGTATGGTCTAGTATTTCGGTATACTCTTTTGTATCTACCATGTCTCTTCTTATGTCCCCTCATAGCGTTTATCTGTTGGGTAATTTTGTGTTATCTTTTGTTTGTTTATATTCACTCCTACTCTTGTTTAACTTACCAAAAATTATTGAGCGGAAGATGAAATTTGCAGTATAAAATGATATCATTCTATTTCACAGGTTCTCATCAGCTGCAGACTACCTGAAATTACAATGGTTTTATAGATTATAATAATATACTTTAATGTTTGATGATGAACTTAAACTAAAAAATTGTAATGCTTTCATTTTGGATGCGTCAATTTTATAGTATCTCTTCTCTACCACCACTCAAACATTAAAGTATGTTACCATTGTAACCATTGTAATTTCAAGTAGTCTGCAGCTGATGAGAACCTGTGAAATAGAATGATATCATTTCCGACTGCAAATTTCGTCTTTCTTTCTTTATCGAAATTTATCAAGGGAATCAAATGTATGAACTATTGAGCGGTTATCACCATGCCAGCAGGTCAATTAAAAACAAATTTTCTGAATGGTCTTAGAGTGATTCTTATACGCACTACAATTTTGATCCACTGAATGCAATGTGTGTGTGTTTATCACGTTGTCGAATTACCTGGATGAGTGAGCGACTGCCTAAATTGCATAAACTATTATGTATATCGCTTAACAGCCCGCCAGCGTAATTTTGTATTATTCGGCTTTTAATGATCACTCTTGAAAAGGAACTAATGTTCCCTCTTAGTTTCGAGAATGCAGATACGCCTTACTGACTAGTGAGTGCCAACTAGTACGAAACATAGGTCCAAGGTTTCCTGCACATTGCCTTCAAATGCTTATACTAGAATTCGCAATTTGAAACTTAATGATAATAATGCCTTTATTTACACAGTTCTAGGTGTAGTTTAACTACAGTTTGATTTGGAAATTGAAATTATTTCGTTCACACTTAGGTGATATCTGTCTGACACCATGTGAAGTGTATCTAATCAAGAAAGCTTGGTTACATGAGTAGTTGGAAATTAGTCACATCAAGTACTAATTGTTTGCTAAGCAAATTGAAGTGATCTAAATATCGAACGTTCATTCCACTCGTTTAAGTTCATTGGCTGTGTGTGTGGACCCGGTGTAACTCAGTTCAAACAGCCCACTGATTTCAAACAACCATCTGAATTCTGGTTGATATGAACTATTCACAATAATCAGCAGTTAGTTTGTATATACAGGCATGAAGAAAATCATTGTGAAGTAGAATTTCTATTTTTAAGTGAAATTTTGATACTTACCAGAATTTGGTAAGGAAAAATTGAAAAGAAAAGAAAATAGGGAAACATTTTCGTATTTTCTCCTTTCCATGAAAAAAAAACTTACGCTTCTGCTTCTTTCTTTCACTCATCAGTAGTGAGTGATTGACAAATCGATTTACCGCACAGTGTAGCATTTTACACACAGCAGTGTATCACTTCATGTTAGTTAACTTTGACTGTTTTTCAAAAAATAGCAGTATAAGTTAGCATTGTTATATCAGTGATAGATCAGTTGCAATTATGAATGTGACACAGGTATTTATTTCCTCTGGCTTTACATTAATCCACGTATGAATGATGGTGAGAATTTGTAAGTCAGATTGAGGATTCTATAATGATGTTATGTACTGTGCGCTCTTTGTAGAGAATGTTTCGTCTACAAGGGATAATGATGAAAGCTTTGGAGTTAAACTATCCAATTCAGAGACAGAATTCAACAATACCAGATAAATTTTGATGAATGATATCTCTCACTAGACATGTGGTACAAGTCATAGCCCGGTATTGTTGAAATCAACTGGATTTCTAGCCAGAAGTCGTAACCAGTTGGGTCTAACAAGTCATGTAAGAGGTCAGTTACTACTCGCCTATGATACTGACTAGCAGTTGCGCCATATATGTATGGTGAATTGGCAGAAGTTGGAATTCATGGGCTGGTCACCGAGTCGAGTCTTAGTGGCTGAATGGTTCGCGAACTAGCTTTGTGACCGGGAGGTCCTGATTTCAAACCCTAGCAGTGAGTGCCTGCTGCTAAAGACACCAAATTAGGATTAAACAGCTGTCCAGTAATCCCTGTTTGTTTTTCAATGGTTCTCTAATTGATGTCAACTCCTGATCAGTCCTGTAACCAATCAAATCCCTGCAAACCAACACCCGATAAGAACGATAAGAGTGGTAATTAGTAGTGCTATCTGTGGTTAGCTTTTTTTGTCATTGTCTCTGATAAGTTGGTCAGTAAAACTCAAACAAGCGGTTACATAACGTCTAATGTTTTATTAAAAAGAAATAAGAGGAGTAACAGATAGTTAGAGATGAAGTTAAACAGAACAATAATAGTTTTGAATTGTTTTGAGGGAGGAGAGGGAAAAGTCATTTTCTTTTGCAATCCCTTCAGTGGTGTCCATGGTAAAGAAAGCAGTTGTATGAAGAAGTTTTAGAAGAAATTCGTTGAAGGAAGCATGTGGGTGTGGTCTCGCGTTCTCTGGGTTGGGTAATTCAACTGTCCTTCTAGACAATATCTTCAATGCAAGCTTCTCAGTTAAACCACTCCATTCAGCTGTGATACAACCTCACATAAAAATCATCCACCTGAGCTACACATGTTCTCCATTATTTAAAGGGAAGCATAGTGATTACTGTCAAAAACTAGCGCAAAAACTAGATCATGAACTTTCATTTGAATGAAGTTCATCATTTTGCGTACCACTTAGTTTTGCTACCACATTAATCGCTTGTTTGATAAATAGATCTTATCAAGTTGTTGATATGATTATGAGCAATAGTTTCTGCTCGAAATGTCTTCAGTTAATATAACTGTACAACACTGTGTGATTTATCAAAATGAAATCTTATCCATAATGGAGTTAGATTTCCATCAACACTATGAGGACTAGAAAGCTGCGACAAACACTTATATGGTTGGCACGGGATGTACCTGCATCCTCATTGATTCATTATATTCCCACCGGTACTCGAATCCCAGCACCCATCATTTCAAACATCGAACTGTTTTCCACTAGGTAAATTACAAGAGCAACCTTTTGGAGTTGTAATTTGTTGAAGTTATCGGTGGTAGGTTGGACTGTGCGTCATGGATTACAGTGATAGTCACCACCAACCAAGTCAGGCATCATCGAAGCATTTGTACTAGAGCAGCCTATATATGTCAACACAGTCTGCGTATTTTAACTCAAAGTGAAATTTGAATATAACTTCAACATACACCGTTATGCATACAGTAGTCGAGTCATTGTAACCTGAAAAGCCTAATACCAAACTCTGAATTTTTAGAACTGGGAGGTACGTATTTATAATTCCGAAGGATAATTAATGCCTTTTCTTTAGACGTTTCCTTTTTGAATGATAGCATTAAAAACACAAATCTCTGTGTGTCTGCGTGTGTGTGTGTGTGTGTGTGTGTGTGTAGAGCATAGATATGCACTGTTTTTTTGACTCCTCCCAAAATTCTATAGTTGAGTTGAAAAGTCCTCCTTCACAGGGTGATTTTATTTGATGAAAACAGACAGTGATATATACAGGCATTATTTACTGATATCAGCTAGTTATATCAGTAGATAATGCCGTATATCACGGTGTGTTTTTTTAGCCAATAAGATGGGAGCATAGACTCTACTCTACCACAGTGCCCAAATTCTATTCTTATAGTTTATTCATTCAATGATTTCTCTGAATTTAATTAATTATTATCTTCATCAGCATCATTATTATTATTATCATCATTACTATGGTAACGATGACATTAATAGCAATAATATTTTAAATATATATTTAGTATTTTTTTCAGATTATCATTATTATTATTGCGTGTATTAAGATCCGGTTTTCAGACTTTCTGATTTATTGGACGTGCTGAAAATTATTGTTTACTTGTTTTCTGTCATGTGTACGTACGTACGTACGTCTGTGCGTTCGTTTGTGTGTTTGTATGAATGTGGGTGTGTGCTTTTGCGCATTTCAAACTCTCTTTTTACTATTTTTAATTTATTAGGTTTTATTTTGTTGTAATTCATATAAGGTGTGACCTCGTGTGTATGTTGGAAGTTTTTCACTCATTCATTATGAGTAATACACCGAGAGGTGATACGATACTTTAAAAAAAGGTTTATACAACTTAATTATTCTTGCAACTTTTATTTTATTTCCGTGATATTTTTTGTTTATTTTAAATAAATAAATAAATAAACAAAAAATTGAGATGTTTCTGTTTACTAGGTGTTTGTGTGTCAAAGAATCTCTAATCAGAATTTCCCTATAGCGTCTATATATACACATACACATATGTGCAACTCATTTAACCGGAACAGATAATCCACCGGGCTAAACACTGTATTTATCGTATGCGGACTGATGATACCACCCAGCAGTGGTAGTAGTAGCCCATGTTGACGTAAGCGGAGCGCAGGACTTCAACTTGTGGTCCATTGGCTAAAAGTCGAGAGTTTAAAGCCGTCACCCAATTATATACACATGTGTGCAAGCGCCAACTCTTTTCCAAATGGATAGGCCAAATCAAAAACACTTGAATACTATGATCGGACACTAGTAACTAGTGTGACGTGTCTAGTCCTTTCTTTGCTGCAGACTGAATTCTACCAGTCAGGTTTGCAATGTGATCACCATTCTAGGTAGCTCTCCATCACGGTGTACATTGATTTGATGATATTAGACAATTGGAGGCAATCGGCTACAGGAAGCCTTGGACCTAGGTTTCGTGTAAGTTGGCAATCGTCAGCAATGCGTATCTGCAACGTTGAAGGAACTCATGTCCCTTCTGAGATTCGAACCCGCGACAGGCAGTGAGCGCTGCAGTCAGAGACGTTACCACTGACCTATTCGAACTCGCGATCGACCTCCTGTAGGACTGTGGTGGGTACTTTGATTGGACACTAGTAACTAGTGTGACGCGTCTAGTCTCTTCTT